TGTGATAAAAGATCAACGAACTTTAACATTAGAAGGCTTTGATTTTAGGTTAGAATGGCATGCCTATTTATGGTATGGCAAAAGAATAGCAAATAAAAACTTGGGAAACCACTATGTAAGAGCAGCACTGATTAGATTTGGGAAAAATACGAAGACAGATTATATTCAAAAACACCAAGCTGGATATCCCCATCTGAAGCATTTTATATTGAACAACTAGATAAGGAAACTTGGCCAACATATGGTCAGATACAACGCAAACAAAATGGAAAAATAGAATTGAAATGAAAAAAAGAGATGAAGGAAATTGATCCAGACGTTAAATGTTTCCTATACATATATATAGCCACCAGGAGCAGCCACCATCGTCTGCCAAGACGGCGGAAATGCTGCGCTCCCGAGTGTCACTCTGGCTCGCAAGGGAAGAGCGATGAAGCAAAAAAGGAACAGCAGCGCAGGCTTCTCTCGCGGCTCCGCGGGCAGCAAAAACTTTATGGAGGGCCGCCAGATGCCCAAGTCGGCCATAGACAGATAAAGTGGAAACTATTTCGGAGAAATGCTCACTGGAGTAAGTTCGACGTCTTCTTGGAAATTTCAAAATCAGAGAAAAGATATTGGCAGTATATGAGATAACAAGAACGAAATCTATCAATACTAAAAATGATAAAGCTTTCACCAATGTAAACGGAAACAGGTTTGGGCAAGCGGAAGATGCACACCTGACTACGCACTAATTTCATGCCTGGAAATGACGATTCGAGTAGGACTAATAGGAAACGAGCAGTACTTGAAAATTCGGTCTTTGGAATGAAATTCTACCAGGATTGTGTCTGTTGATGTAATGCAGTGTTTTCCGGTGTTGTGAAACTACAGGCGAAATACAAACGAACACTGAGCTTTCAAAAGAGACAGTGTCACCTGATCCGTATCGCTTAATTCAAATCCAAATCAGATAGGCAACGACCCAGCAGACCAAGCCGCTTGTCGGCCAGCACTGCCATTCATGAAGTACTCTTTGTCTTCGAATCCCTATACATGATAATTGTTTAATTTTTGATGGATCTGATATTTGATGTCCAAATCTGATGTTTGATGTGAATCATTCTATGATTTCACTTTTTACAAAACCGACCCGAGCACTTTTTCGCGATTTAGAAATAGCAGCGATTGGGCAATCTCTGCAACGATGCAAAAGATCTCATAAATTTCAAGCTAACAAGGCAGAGACGATGTCTCGGTCGGGCAGGGAAATTCACTATAAATACCCATCAAAGTACTATGGATCGGCGTCGTTTATTAAAATCCTTCAAAAAAGCAAATGATTGTGTCACAGCAAGGAATGACACAATGGACACCTTGTGATTACTTCGCTGTGTACACTACCCACATTTCGGACACACAACCCTTCCGCTCTGCTCCACATGTCCCATTTGCACCCTTTCCATGTTTAAATATATAGCTGCAGCAGCCTCACCGCACTGAGAATTTTGCAGTTTTTTGCAGGCACGGTATAAAATAGCTGGTTGGGAGTGCGTTATTCTGAGATATGCGGGAGTGGGAGGTGTGAATTGTTTGGATGGGTAGTGGTGTGATTGTCTTCTGTCGTAGTTCTCAAGAATAATCTTAGTATTTGGGGCATTTCCAGGGTAATGTGAATAAACGTTACATTTCAGGACGGTATATTCAAGGAATCGGTGAGTATTGGGAGAATAGTTTTCATCGCTTATACAGCTTGCTATCGCTCACGTAGTCTCTCCGCTTCAAAATGGGAAGTATGTATAGCAGTTCTTTTTCTCCTAGTATTTCTATACGTATGGTTTAGTGTTGTGACACACTTTTTTAGGCCATTAGAAACTTAACGATGTTGTGTAGAACTCATCGCAAGAAAAGGCAGTACTCTTGTAGGTGCTTCTAAGTGAAAAAGGTCTTATTTACTCGGATGTACATGTGAAGTAGGAAGATGAAGATGTAAAACCAATTCAGCATGTTTTCATGAACAGTTTTCTGTCGAGTGTTCTTGCAAATCTTTCAGATCCTTAGTACTGGATTTTCATCCATATGGATTTTTCGTCCAGGATTTTCCACCACAAGTTTAATCAAAAAATTATGATTGCAAAATCCGTGAAAAAGTGGATCTCAAAGTGGTTTGTTGATTGAAGTGGGGCCATGATTAATAGACTTCCTTTCACCATAAATTTCAAAATTCTGGACGATGTAAGTAAATTCACTGCATTCGTTCGGTTTCAGTAAAGTTTTTGGAGTTTGTGAAGCCGTTTTGTGGTTTCGTGCCAGAAGTTTCGAAGCCTGAAAGAAAAATTCAGTTTCGTGAAAAAATGTTATGGACAGCAATTACATTATTCGTGTTTCTTGTTTGCTGTCAAATACCCTTGTTTGGTTAGTGGTTTTCTTATCTTTCACTGTAAATAGGACTAGTCAGAAATGACAATATGTTGTTAAAAAATTAAGTATGATTAGCAGCTAGGTAATTTGGTGGTATATACACATATTTATTTGTTTGCTTGTTTATTATTTATTCATCCATCAACTAATTAATTGGTTAATTAGTTAGCTAATCCATTTGTTTGTTCATTTATGTGTTTGGTTGTGTCACGGTCCCAAATTTCATCTGGTAGATTTATTGGTCAAGCACATACGCTTCTTTTAGGGATCATGTCGACAGACAGTGCAGATCCGTTTTACTGGCTTCGGGTGATTTTGGCCTCAAATAGAGGAACACTTATGGAACTTGGCATTTCACCTATTGTGACATCTGGTCTAATAATGCAGTTATTGGCAGGTGCAAAAATCATTGAAGTAGGAGATACTCCAAAAGAACGCGCTCTTTTCAATGGCGCGCAAAAATGTTTGTTCAAAGATTTGTTTTAATAGATTGTCGTTGGTACTTCTTATTAACGTTGTTTGAATTGCCAGTGCAAAGTCTTGTCCAAAGTAGTCGTAACGGTATGAAAATTGTGCTTAGTGCGTGTATTGTCTAGCACCTAGTGCGATGTTCTATTGCTAGCATTATGAGTTGTTAGCATAATTTCTATTGTTAGCATTACTCATTTATTACCGTCATCTATGCTTCTAGTGTTTGGCATGGTAATCACGATTGGACAAGCCATTGTTTATGTGGCATCCGGTTTATATGGCGATCCTACGGAAATTGGTGCTGGTATTTGTTTGCTCATTGTTATTCAACTTGTTGTAGCTGGCCTGATTGTTTTACTTCTGGATGAGTTGTTACAGGTATGCGTAGGACGATTCATGTGTCTGCCTGTTATAAGGAATGTTTTCTCGCATTTCTGTTATGAATAGATTGACTACGTTTTCGACTGAAATAGCAGCTTAGTCAAGCTGAATAATTCGACTAAAATAGCAAATTATTCAAACCAAATCTCTTTTTTTCTTTTTCCTTGCCGATCCGTGTTTATAATTCAGCGTATGATAAACAAATTTTGAGGTCAACTAATCTTATGTTTAAGAAAGGATATGGGCTAGGTTCTGGTATTTCATTGTTCATCGCAACAAACATTTGTGAGACGATCGTTTGGAAGGCTTTTTCACCAGCTACATTAAATACTGGTCGGGGCACCGAATTTGAAGGTGCGATCATTGCACTTTTCCATTTACTTGCTACCCGAAACGACAAAATTCGAGCACTGCGTGAAGCGTTTTATCGACCAAACTTGCCAAATCTGATGAACTTGATGGCTACAGTACTTGTATTTGCTGTGGTTATATACTTCCAGGTTATTTGATTTTTGCTTTTTTTTTGCAAATCTGGTTGTATAATTTTTTCATTATTTTAATACTTCAACTTTTTAAAGAAACATTGATTTTTGGCTTTTATGCTTATTCTTATGACAACTTATGAATTTGAAAGCTGTTCCTTACAGCATAGTTGCGCTCAAGTGTTTCATTTCTAGGGATTCCGCGTTGACTTGCCGATCAAGAGTGCCCGGTATCGTGGACAGTACAGTTCTTATCCAATTAAACTTTTTTATACATCCAACATTCCAATTATCTTGCAGTCTGCTCTCGTATCTAATTTGTATGTTATTTCACAGGTAAGCTGACTTTCATTGAAATTCGTACTGCGATTTCATTCATATTTTGGGTGCGGCTTGATCTGGGTAACATATTTTAGCTTAATGTTCATAAAGTTATATATCCTTTCCCTCGATGGTTTAATTATATAGCTTTATATTTCATTTTTTGATGCTGCGATTATTTTAATCTGGGCTAATATTTAAGACAGTTCAGCGATACCCTATATCCAGTTATCCAGTTTACATCAACTAGTTTTTTTTATTTGTCCCAACGAAAAACAAAAACGTAACAAAAGTTTTAATGGAAATGCGGAACTGATTCTGCTAGTTCTACATGTAACAGCTTTGGATTTCATGTTTCTGTTGACAACTTCACGTTGTTATGGTTGGAGCAGAGAATTTCTTCTAAAAGTATGTTAAATTTAATGTATTAGATGAAATTCAGATGTTGGCTGCAAAATTTGGCGGCAATATCCTGGTCAATTTGTTAGGTACGTGGTCGGATGCAGGTGGTTATCGAAGCTATCCAACTGGTGGCATTTGTTATTACTTATCACCTCCAGAAACGTTGGCACATGTTATTGAAGATCCTATGCACTGCTTTGTATACATTGTTTTCATGTTAGGTTCATGCGCGTTTTTCTCGAAAACATGGATAGACGTATCTGGGAGTAGCGCGAAAGATGTGAGTTGCATCCTGAGATCTTCGCATATTGACTTTTATTGGATAAAGGTTTACTGCTTTATGTTTATTTTTATTTCTAGTTTATTTTCTGGGAATTTAGGTTGCAAAGCAATTAAAGGAGCAACAAATGGTAATGAGAGGCCATCGTGAGAAATCAATGATCCATGAGTTAAATCGATATATTCCAACAGCTGCTGCATTTGGTGGTTTGTGTATCGGAGCCTTATCAGTCACTGCTGACTTTATGGGTAATCGGTTATACGTTTTTAATATTATGATATGATGAGGTGTTAGGCAGATTCACTTTCATCATTGCTTCTTACCTGGGCGTATATTATTCATTTCTACACGAATTAATTTTTGGCTTCTGGATTACTGACAAACTTCGTTCTTTAAGGAGGGGGCAAAACTTCTTTTGCTTTGCCGGTTGCTTTGTTGCTACTAACTACTAATGTTTATAATTTCATAATAACTGTCAAAGATTGATCGGTTTTTTTCGACTCCTTGAGACTTTCTATTGCTAGTATGATATAGCTGTTTTCCCAATTCGATGCATTCAAACCTGGATTTTATTTTAAGGTGCGATCGGCAGCGGTACTGGCATCTTGTTGGCAGTAACAATAATATACCAATATTTCGAAATATTTGTTAAGGAGCAACAAGAAATGGGAGGTGTAGCAGGAATGTTTTTCTAATATCTGATTGTTAATTGTGGAAGATTAAGTTTTGCCTTCTCAGTTTGTTTGTTTGATTAAGCATGAGATATACTAAGAATAAAATGGAACATCAAAGAAGTATCTTTAGTATCCAATTTGATATTTGCTCTCTTTAGAAACTCTCCATGTAACGACAGTCACTTCTGCAGTTACATATTCCTTAGTTTTTCTGTTTTTGCTAGGTATGCTCATGATATAAACATTATCCAAGGAGTAGAGCTGATGATTCTGTTAATAAGTATATTTGGTTCATATTTTATACTATATTTCTCATGTAATTTATCTTCGAACTGGATTTCATTTGCGTTATAGAAATAGTTTTACATCCCGATGATGGGTGTGATACTATGAAAATGTTACCATTTAATTTATTAGTTGCAGCGAGTCTTGAAGTAGTTCTTTTTTTCTTTTTTTACGTTTACATAATCCCTTACAAATATGGTTTTATCAACAGGAAATTTGTAAACCACATTCTCAAGAAATCTTTCAGAACCTTGCATGCTGTGTTTTGTCATATTGTCTCGAGTGCGTCATTGTGGTAGTTCCACTTAAGTATTTGGGCAGTTGTAATGTAGTTAGAATTCATACTATATTGAAAAATGAAACTTTGCAAGTGTGTGATTGGTTGACAGTATCTCATCTGACATTTTAGGTTGGATGAGTGATAAACAGAAGTTATCTTTGATAATCATATGCCGAACTGTCGAAATATTTTCAGAAGTGTTGGGAAGCTTTCCGTTAGAGATCTTAACATGTTCTTGGCTTTAAGCTTTTTCTTAATAAACTAATTGGCAGGGATGTGTCCTTGTGAGATTTTAGAAGTCGTTTTTGTACTAACTATACTTGTAAGGCGTTGACTTGTGGCAGTATTTGTCTCAAAAAGTTTCCTTTTGGAAGTCTTCTAAGAGGAACGGGGGGTCAAAATGTCGAAGCTCATTTTTAATCAGTCTAACTTTAGGAGAGTTTTCCGATCTCTGCTCTATTCATCGAAAGAAATTGGGTGGGGCTGTCGTTCTTCACTTTTAGTTTGTTGTTCATGCTGAAGGAGCATCTTGAAACTGGCTGGTCATTTTTGAAAGGACGGCGGAATTATTAGTGTGCAATTAAATTTGGTAGGTTAATAAATTGTCCGTCGTTTAAATTAGGCGGTGCGTGGTGTTTGACACATTAAGGTACAGAAAAAATCCCTACTGACAACTAGTAAATAATTTATCATATTGTCAGTGGATGATTTGTTATTATGCTATCGCTAGTTGAATCTCTTGAACAGTAAAATGTTTTCTGAAAACCTGGTGGGGATTCTCTGTTGTGTTTCACTATGATTATCATTATAAAAGAATCTTACAATGATTCTTGCTATAAAAGAAGTGAAAGAAGAAAATAATTCACAGTCAAGATGGTAGGTTCATCCGCAGGAAATTGCGCTGTTTGGGAACACCTAGGCCGAGAAAGGTAGGATATATCATTTAAGGTGAGAGACTAGCAATATAGCAGTTCTTGCTTGAACACATTTCTGAGGCGCTGTAAGGTGTAAAAGGTATAGAAATGCTCTTTTACCACCTTTCTCGTTATGTCACTGAACTTTTGGCTTTGTGAACAGTAGTTGTGTAATTGTTTAACTATGTGATTGAGGAAGTAGGATGGTGTCGGATCTTACATAGAACCATAGAACTACATACTGACATGAGGAAATGATGCTGGTTAGAACTTCCAGTCATATTTCCCACGGGATTAGCAGATTTGACGTTTCATCGTAAAATTTCGCAGGTCCCTTATTTGTTGTATGTTTTATATTTTTCATGACTATTATTAATCTTTATTTCTAATCAGTAAAAGATCCACTTTTGAAAGATAAAAGGTAAATAAGATAATAAAAGGTCCACTTTTGCTTTTTTCCTTTGCCAACGTTTTGATTTTCGTTTGGAAAAGTTGAATTGATGAATGCAAGCTCATAATTCTACCATCATGCTTTTAGTTGGTTATTTCGTGCATACTTCTTGAAGAATAGCAGCTGTACAGTTAGGAACAAATTACAGAATATATTATGAACTCTGATCTTTTTTCAATCAAAGCATTATGATGTATGGAGTTCCAGTTTAAGAAATTTGGAAGAGAACTTAGTAGGAGACGTAGAGAGCTGTTGAGGAAAGCCTCGAATTCGGATCCTATCTCATGGAAAATCAACGCTATTTCAATACGAAGAGATTAACTGCAGAACCTATGCAACAAGAGATTTTTAGTATCACTACCTATTCATGTAGCATATTTTTTGAGCCGGAAATCTGAAATAAAAAAGATCTTAATTTGAAAATGGGGTGCGATGTAGTGAAGGTTTTAATAAGGACCATAACTTATGTGTTTTTAAACAGCTGTTGAAAGAATGAACATCGGATGCTTTCAAAATTATGGGAGGTGACTTAGGGCAAAAATGGAAAGGATTACCGAAGAAACAAGGTATCTGGGTCAAAAAAGTCAGGGAGGATGGAGCAATGGAATTCATATTGTTTGCATCTTTTTTGAGAATTGTTTTCACTTATTATTTATGTTAATGGAACATAAATTTCAGAGAACTCTACGTTGCCTTCGTGAAATTTGTAATATGTAAGCTCGATTTCTGGAGATACATATATGTGTTTTCTGCAAAAAATATTTCGCAGCAGTTTCCGAATACATTTCATCAAAAGTTAAAGTCTATTTCCCAAAGGGAGAAATTGCGGCGTAATGTTACAAAATGTACAAATTAGCGTATACTACTCAGGACGAAATTAAGGCTGACAGAAGATCTCTGCTTGTGAAAGATATCTTGAAAGAGAGAGAAAAGGGTGAAGATTTATTGTGTTTTGGAAAGAGTGACGGATATACCGTAGAATATAGGTAGAAATGACGAGCCTCCCAAGATCATCGAAATTTACGGTGATCTGAGGCGATGAAGGCGTTTAAGAAGGATTCCATTTCTGATTAAAATTTTTGATTTAGTGCTAGCTTGATAAAAATGATCGGCATAGAATCCCTGAGTGTTTCGGTGGGAATTGCTGCTAATTTATAATCCTACTTAAATATTCCGCCGGTTTATCACTACTGGAGAAACGAATAACGAAATGATTTTTAAGGTTTACGAAGCTAAAACAATTTACGTTTGAACAAAGCGAAACGATTACAGTGCGCAAAATTGACTTTTTTTCTACAAAATGTAAACATATTAGATGCTCATATATAAACTACCAAGCCATTCAACCAAAAATTGTTAGGAAACCGTTAGATAGCCCAACGGCGGTATATTAGCGATGAGTCCATGTAAAGATTTTTTTTCTACAGAACTCTTCGTTCCATCACTACTGTAAACAAAAATTTAGCTTCCAATCACCGTCCTATCACATTTCATCTCACTTTTGTTATTTAAAGACAAGTTTTGCTTGTTAAAGCGGTTCAATCAACTGTCATATCCGTTTTATTGAGAAGTATCTGACGTCTTAACCGTTATTTTGTCAGAAGTTTTTCTCGCTATCTCGAAAAGATTACATGGCCTTTTTGCTCTCGTTACTATAAGTTTAAATTCAATATCGTAGCAGTTCGTAAACAGAGTAAAAAGTCATTGATTTAAATGATTAATTTATCGTGTCTGGCAAATTATAGTTATGTATAAAGGTATTTCTAAGAGCATCAGAAATGAATCGTGATTAAACTCATAGGATTCTTTAGCATTAGTGCTATTTTATAAACTGTTTTTTTCAATTTCATTTTTTTCCTCTGTTCAAAAATCAAATCACCAATTGCTACCATAACACATTAGATGTACAAATCAGCTATATTTATAAATTATTCGGAGATATTATGGAGCAGCCAACTTTTCACGCCATTTGGTAGGATAAGCCAGGAGTATAGCAGATTCATACCATTATTGTTGATGTATGGTGTTGTCTGTTCACAGTATGTCTATCTACAGGGTATGTGTGGTTCTTCGACCTCAGTTGTTGCTCGGTCACTCATTCTCATCTTTTCAGCTGTGCTGTAATAAACTCTCCTTTCCTTCTAATAATCAATCCACTTCATTGTCATCATTTCCGACCCTTCCCAATGGTCTGGAGAGCGGTTTCACTCGTCTTCTGTAATTGCTCTGTTTTTTTTTTCTACAAATTTCGTGTTTCGCAAAAATGAGCTTAAAAGATTCACAGTTATGGAATGCACTCAACACTTTATAAACAGTGTTTTTCTTCTTATACCACGCTATTCCAATTTCATTACCCGTAATATTGTTACTATTATTTTTTATTTATCTATTTCTTATGTTTTTTGTCAGTTTAAATTTATTTTTTATTGGTTTTGTCATTACTCTGATTTAGTTATTAATTTATCAATTTTATAGCGGGAAATTTCAAGGGAAGCAATTTTCGTTGATTGTAGTAGCTAAACAATTTTTTTGGTAAATGTAAATTGGTTAGGTTATTGCAGGATATGCAAGATACCAGCACAAGATATTGCAGGAAATGGGAAACACTGGTTTGTTTGCAATAGGAAAAACAAAGATATTATATAACACAAAATGGTATAAGCTGCATTACAAGCGAAAAACAATTTAATTCAGAGATTTGAAATTTTTTTGATTCGGAGATTGAAAAGATAATTTGAATTTTTTCTGAATACACACCTTTACCTATATATCTTTTTTCTCATGGCTCACGATTTGCTTCATGATCAAAATACCAATCCTTCTTATTTTTCCCTCACAGTGAATTTTGCACTTCTTTTTAACAAGTGCACTAATCCCTAACGAAATGCACACTGCATCATATTTTTGTTCAGCTTTTTAGATATCTATACGTTAACCAATACCTTGGGGAATGAATGAATACCTTATTGTCATTCATATGGGTAACTGAAATTATATTTATCGAACATTTTATGAAGATCTAATGTTCGGTTTCCCGTATGAGTGCCGAATCACTCATGTACGAAAATAATGAAAGGAAACTTTTACATACGAACAAGTACCAAGTAATTTCAACCTAAGACTGTGAAGTTGAGTCTATGATTAGTAATGATTAATAAATGATAAAACTTTAATACAAGCATTAGTTGCGAAACAGATTTTGTTTTGCCTTTATAATGAGTGTATTTAGTAGGCAAAATGCAAATATGCGTTAAGATGGACATAACAGGCATTTAGCTAGAATTTATGTGGAACAATTAAGAAGTTAAGAATTTTCTGAGATGTTTCCTAGTAGGAAAATTTCCGATAAATTGTGTCTTTGTTTCGAAAAGCAAAAATGCCGCCACTGTAAGAAAATTGAATCGTGATAATGATAATATGCATAGATACAGCTGTGATTTGATTGCGCTGAAAATCAATTAATGTAAGGCGAAGACTGGCGATCTTTGCCCTTTTTGCAAGCAAAAACTAATTTAACTGAAATTTATTGCAAAGTTTCCTCAACTTTAGCGTTTTCTCCATGAAAATTTTTATTTCTGGTGTTACCAAAAAAATTTTGTTTTTGTGCATATGGATACTATTACTTGACTGTTTGACAAAATGAGAGAAAAAGTAAACTAACTGCATATCAAGTTAAAATTCTGTGCCACATAAACTATTGCATAAACTTACATGGAGATATTCTTGAAATTTTCAAACTTCAAACACAATTTATCTCTGGTCAAATTTATTTAGGCTATTGATTTTTTTTTCTCGAAATGTATTTCACCTTCTCTTCTATTGTTGCTTTCTTTGACCGGATTTGTATCTGATATATCTTCTGACAGCATGCTAAATGATATACACTTCCTGTGGAACTCAATTGATGTGTTATTTTAAAAAAAAATTGTCTCTCTCGAACTTGGCTATAGAGTCATTATCAGTATTGGTATCATTAGTCCAGTAAAAGTCGCACAATTCAAAGTACTTTTTATGTGCTTCCATGTAGGTAAAAGTTTTAAGGGATTTTGTTCATCATTTTGAAGCTTATGGCATTAAATTTTTAACAATTTATATACTCAGTAAAGGTTGTGGGAAAACTGGCGATGTTACACGAGCTTCTGCTTACTGTAGCAGTGAAAATGGGTTTCATTTGGGGACAGGTATTGGTACCACCGTATACCAATCTGGCACTTGATAGGAAGATTGAAGCGTCCTCAACGTGTGGTGAGCTTAATGGACAGCCAATAAAAGAAATTTTTTGTCAGATAGCTGGTAAATTTTAATTTACTTTCTTCTTTTATTGTCTGCTTAATTAATCGGGAATAGATAATGTTAAGCTGAGGAAATGGCAGAGTACAAAATATGGTTGGAATAAGAAATTAAAGTTGGCTGGTTGTTTAATCATTGATTTCTGTAGAAATTTATGCTTCTCAGGCTCAAGTCAATATACTCCTTTAAATCAATATTCGTACAGTACCGGTGAAGATGGCGTTTCCGTTTTTGCCGAACTTAAAATGGAAAAGCAATCTTTTGTTCAGGTAAGATTTCCCTGCCAAATAAGTAGAAAGTTTTTCTGATAAGGTTCCATACCGATAATTTTGATCAGAATTTGAAAATACTACTTTTTACACCATCAGTTCCTACTAATAGCTAATACCCACTGATACTGTATTGATGTTCAGAGCAGTGAATCTCAGCTCGCCACATTCTTTTTTTACAGGGTGGGCAAATGTGCGATTTTTGTCAATCTAACAGTTCATTTGCGCATCCAGCAACAAATATGGTTGATGGCAGAGCAAGCTGGTGGCAAAGTCCGCCACTAAGCCGTGGGATGCAGTACAATCAAGTTAACATTAGTATTAATCTGGGACAGGTAAGTTGCTCTGCTTGCAAGCCGGTTGAAAAGTACCGAAAATGCTGAAATTTAAGAAAAACTGAGTTCTCTAGATTGAACCCGAACAAAAGACTTATTAATAGTTCATAGTAATTTGAGGTGGAAAAATTTAAATTCGATGGGTTTGATGGGTAGTCCTAATAATTAATGAGGGAATTCGATAAGAAAGAAACTGGGAAAAAGTTGAACTAAGACATTTCACAAATGAGAAATTCTTTAGGAATTTCATGTGGCTTATGTATGGATTCAAATGGCAAATAGTCCTCGACCAGGATCATGGGTGCTAGAAAGATCTGTTGACGGTGGAGAAACTTATATGCCTTGGCAGTATTTTGCCGAAACGCCTGCTGAATGTGATCGCGTCAGTCCAGTTTCAATCTATATTACGATTAGCGGTTTTTCCTCATATTAAGTTTCCTAAATAGCACTATGATGAACCACAAATTCAAAGTTTTCAAGCGATTTCAGTTATTCGGACGTCATACACTCCAACCAATATTAGAAGATGATACTGTTATATGTACCCACGAATTTTCTGGAATTCATCCCATGGAGAATGCAGAGGTAAAGTTCTTTTTAGGAGCCTAATTAGAAATATCTCATGATTCAAGCCTCTCTGCATTTTGTGAATATTTGGTTTAACAACTTCAATGATAAATTTTATTCTTTAAGAAAGTACAAATACTTTGAAATTTCTGCTGGAGAAAATAGAAAGAACAGAAAATTTTTCCAGATAATGATAAATTTGCTTGAGAACCGACCAGGAAAACACAACTTTAGTCATTCTGAAGTTCTTCAAAACTTCACTCGTGCAACAAATGTACGGCTAAGGCTTCTACGTACCAAAACGCTTCATGGCCATCTAATGGATGTCAACAGACGAGATCCCACAGTGACACGGCGAGTTAGTCTCTTTACTGCTAAATGAACGTTTTTCAACTAATCAAAAATATAGACATCAAAAAAACAGTACTCATACAATGACTTTTTTGATGTGGTGAATCTTAAACTTCTGATATTCTATGATGTAGTGAGAGTGGTGGCTTAGTACGACCGCATATTAATCCCTGATAGGCGCTTCATTTGAACCGACTCTTAAACCTTAATTTCGAAAAGAGATCAAGCATAAGAGAAAAATAACGTGGCAGAATGAGTTGTTCGTATGAATTCTAAGAAGTAGATAAGCAAAAGTGATTCAGTCACTTCCATTGAGTTACTTCCATTCAGTCTCCAAGACGTGGAGGAATTTGATGATTTCTGAAGCACATTGCAGTATTTCTATGCAATCAAAGAAATCTTTATGGGAGGTCGTTGTGTTTGCAATGGACATGCGGATACTTGTGATATTCTTGACGTTCGACGTTCCAATATACTCCTTTGCAGGTTCATATCTTTTGTCGAATCCTCAATCCCTTCGTTATTTTTCTCTTTAAAATTATCGAACAGAAATGAAGTGCATAAACACTAGTCTTTTCTATACGCACAAAACAAAAAACTTAAGTGAAAAAAAGGGGACAAAAATTTGGAAAAAGGCTATCCTATTTAAAAACCAAACGATTTTTTCCAATCTATGTTTCAAGTGATTTCCTATAGAATGAGAAAAAGAAAACCAGTAGATATGCTTTAAGCCTTTATTATCAAATAGTTTACTATTATTGATGTCATTGCAGATGTGAACATAATACCTGTGGAGATCATTGTGAATACTGCTGCCCAGGATTTGAACAGAAAATGTGGCAACGAAGCAAGGAAGGCGCTGAATTTGTGTGTGAACGTAATTCTTTCGAAATTTTTCACTACCAAAGTCGGGCAAAAGCGTAATAATTGCATCATTGAGTCCAGCTGAAGTTATCCATCTCAGAAGTAAAAATACTTTCCCACTATAGGTCCATAAATTATATGCATTTAGAACTCCCTTGACCGCGGGATTTTAAAGCTACTGGTTTGAGTATGTTCAACGATAGAGAATAGTCACAGGATGAAGGTGCGCAAATTATTTGTAATTTCGATAACTATAGCGTGTAACTGTTACGGGCATAGCGAGGAATGCGTTTACGAAAAAGAACTTGACAGAATGCATTCAAGCATAGATATTCATGGAAGCTACGATGGAGGCGGTCGTTGTCTAAACTGCAGAGTTAGTCATTTCATCTTTTCTATTTTTTTTTTCGTTTTTTAATTTCTATATACTACTTTGCAATTCTCATGTAACAAGTTAATTAGTTTCAAGGTTTTTTTTTTTTTTTTTAAAAACAAATTTGCAGGACAATACAGAAGGCATAAACTGTAACAAATGCGTCTTTGGATACTATCGGCCACGAACGAAATGGTGGAATGAAACAGATGTATGTCAACGTAAGTTCTACTTGCGTTTTGGAATTAACTAAAATTTTACGTCCATCAAAAACTGTTTGGGCATCTATCTATTAAGATCCTCTTGATGTTTGAGACGCCACACATCTGGAACACAGTTATGGCAGGCTCGAGTTTCTTGAGCTAGTTTTGGTGGTATGAAATTGAAAGGAAATTTCAACCTCATATCTGCCTCACATACGTACGCCATGTCCTTGTACCTTGCAGCTGTTTCGACCTCTACTAATTGTTGTCGAGGAAGAAATGAGTCAGCATTAATTTGGCAAAAAGTCATGTTTTTAGGTGCTCGTTAAAAAGTCCAACACCTAACAATCGTCTTTTTATCGTTTTTCTCCTCTGCCAAACTTTTGTTTCTCCACATCATTACAAACTTCATCTGATCCATATGTTAACATCCGTTCTAACGTTAGCCTGAATTGGGCAGTTTTGTTCTTAGTTGGTAGAATATGCTACTGATTGCCGCTGGAATTTATGCGAAGTCATTTCCGAAAGTCATTTGGTATTCAGGATATACGTTATCCCTCACTTGGCCTTTAAATATTCAGGCCGTTTGATGGTGATCTCAAAAATGATTTTTTTTAAAAACTTCGCAAACTTTACGACATGTTTGCGCATACGAAAATGTCACAAGATGCTTTATTGATCTCATGGGAAGTATGGATGATATATGTTCCCTGAACATGTGTGAATGCATTAACATCTCTCGGAAATCAAGCACTCATTGCTTACAGAGTCAGTATGGTAAATGAACAGAGTAATTTTTCTAAATGTAGTGTGTTTTTCAGCTGTCAGGTGCAGCTCTGCCTACCTTGACCTTATCATTAATAGTATGAAAGTTCATACTCTGCCGTCGAAGTATTCCTATACCGACAGTTTGAATGGTGTAACTAGATCTAATGAAACTGAGCCTTCCGTGCTTGGAAGTATTGTCTCAACAACAGTTTTCATTCCAGTCTGTCTTAAAACTCCTTTCTTTCATTGCCCAAAAAGTGTTGCAAAATCAAAGAGTCGACTTCCACATTACAGCTTGTGTATGCGATCCCACAAAACATACAGGAGATTGTGAGGATGAAACAGCTCGTTGTTTCTGTAAGCCTCAGTTCACCGGGATGAATTGTGATAGATGCGCACCTGGTCACTACTCGCCTCCAAAATGTAAACCTTGCGATTGCTCTGTAAATGGCACTTTGGATGGTAGTTGCTTGGTACTGTTCTCTATCGCTATTTGAATTCTGTTTATTTCCAACTACTATAATAATCAGCCTTTCAATAAGCATATAAATTATATATTGATGGATGACAGTTGAGTCCAGTAAAGGATTTTAAATTACTTGATTTTCTGCATTTAGTCTGAAGTACTGTAATGAAAGGTTCACTTTAATTTGTTGCTTGTTAATTAATCCCTTTAGAAGCATCGGAAATTTTTCAGCCTATTAATGGACGTTGCCCATGTAAAAGTAATTACGGAGGAGAGCTTTGCCAGGAATGTGCACCAGGTTATACAAACCTCACAGCCGGGTGTATCTGTAAGTTATTGTTACTAAATGAGAAATCAGAAAAAATCTTGAATAACTGCATCTGTTTTTCAAATCTAAAATAATTCCTTGTTTTTGATCTGTGTGACTGCTGAAGACAATTATTATTCTTTTTAAAATATCAGCTTGCAATTGCAATGAACTCGGATCACTGCATAATAGTTGTAATGAAAGCACAGCACAGTGTATATGCAAAACCAATTTTGCTGGACTTACGTGCGATAATTGCGCTGATGGATACTTCGGCCATGCTTTGTGTGAATGTAAGTTTTTGATACTACATCAGAAAATATTACCGTTAAAGTCTACTTCTCTATCTTGAGCTAAATCACTTCAGATTGCAATTGTGATACAATCGGTACGGAGGACGGTATTTGTGACAAAGAGACTGGTGCTTGCCTGTGTAAGCCTGGATTCTCTGGTTCTCGATGCGATGAGTGTAGCTTAAATTTTTATGGGTATCCATACTGCAAAGGTATATGTTTTGGTTTTTAAGCTTTGGAATTTCTTAATACCATTTCATGTTGATTATTAAAGTTAACTCGGTTGTTGTGGTGAACTTTCGGTATTTTAGAATGTGGATGCAACGCACCTGGCTCGAAGTTAGCAGAGTGTGATCGGAAAAATGGTGATTGTTCATGTTATGCAAATTTCACCAGTAGAAAATGTGATCGTTGTGCTGCTGGATTTTATGATTTCCCGAATTGCAAGCCATGTTCGTGTCTGACCATTGGCTCCAAAGGAATGACTTGCGATAACAACGGACAGGTTCGTCAGCTTCTCCATAATGCTTTTTATTAGGTTTGAATGTCTTGAATGACCAAAGAACTATGTTGGAATAATTGCACGTCCAGTTTATGCGTAGATATTATTTAAGTTCACGAAGATTATTTGTTTTCAGTGTTATTGTAAACCGAATTTCCAAGGTGAAAGATGTGATCAATGCAAAACGAATTTCTACAATTTTCCGATCTGCGAAGGTATATATGTTTCATACAACATCTTACTTTTATAATATCAAAACAATTTATTATTTTATTAATTTCATACATATTTTTTCTTACTTCCAAATGTTGCAGAATGTAATTGTAATCCAAAGGGGGTAGTGGCGGGTTTTGCTGGTTGCGATAAGGTTGAACCGGGTGAATTATGTACCTGCAAAACGCATGTTGCGGGTCGTATATGTGATCAGTGCAAACCGACCTACTGGGATTTGCAATATTATCATGAAGATGGGTGTGTACGATGTGATTGCAATTTGGCTGGTACACTTTCGGGACTAAATGAATGCAGTATCGAGGGAGGACAGTGCAACTGTAAAAGACATGTCGTTGGTCGTCGATGCGATAAATGTGCTGATGGATTTTTTCAACTAAAAGTGCATAATCAGTTTGGATGTCAAGGTATATTTGGCTTGATACTTGTTGATTATTATATAAGTTTCAGCTTTAATAGACAACACTTTGAGAACATTATTGCGAACAGCTAAAAAGTCTTACCAGCGCATTTACATTTTCTGGAAATTCTTGTAATTTTCAGCTTGCAATTGCGACGTTGGTGGTGCATTGGGAGCTGGCTGCGATATGCAAACAGGGCAATGTCGTTGCAGACCTCGGATCACTGGTCAGAAGTGTGACAGACCGATCGAAAATCATTACTTCCCAACACTGTGGCACAACAAAGTGAGTATTTTAATATTTTCTCTAGACCAAAATCTATACGATTCATCGAAATTACTACCACTTCATGATGTAGCTGGTTTTCCGGATAATCGTTTAGTAATACTTCGAAAGAGGCCTCGAAAGATACAACTGGTCAAATTCTTCAGTCTGGTCCAGCAGTCATCGGCTTGCAATGATTCAGACACTCATTCTTAATCTTATAACATGAATGTTATTGACCGCTTTGTTCGAAACTGTGAGACTTGCGCGCAAATCGCTCATATTAAATTATGTGTAATTTTATTCATTCGTAGTACGAAGCGGAAGACGGCATATCGATGGAACAAAATTCCGTGCGTTTTGCCACCGATAAAAACAAATTTCCAAATTATTCATGGAGGGGATATACGGTATTCTCACCGATCCAAGAAGACGTTCTGTTGGATATAGTAGTTAGCAAAGCCAGTCTTTATCGTGTTCTTTTCCACTACGTTAATCCAACCGATGTTCAAATTGATACCAGTGTTGCGGTTATGCCTCTTTTCACGCATACTCAAGGTTAGCTTCTATCAGAACATCACTTTTATTTATCTGGTAAAGTTGTTATCACTTCTTGTTGCATCACTTCCGTTGTAGATATGGAGCAAAGAACCAGGCTGAACCTTTCACCAACATCTGAACCAACAACCGTAGCTGTCAATCCCAAACAACCATTCATCTTAAATCCTGGAAAATGGCGCATCAAGATTTCAACCAAACAACGACTTTTTCTGGTAACAGAAACATGTTGGTGCTGTCTTACGAATTTAGTTCTTTCTCTTCACTGAATATGAAAATTTCAGGATTACATCGTACTGCTGCCCTCAGAATATTACGAAGGGACGGTCTTGAAGGAGCGGATTTTTGAACCATGTCAAGTACTTGATTCTCAGAACACAACATGCTTTGACTTGTTGTATCCACCCCTTCAAATTGCATCACAAGCAGACACTATTGAAGATGGATTTATGATAGAAGAACAAAATGACAGTAACACAATACAAATTGATGAGGTCGAGTAAAATCGTTAACGGCATATACCTAACAATCACGAATCTCAGAAAATATCAGGCCTCATAATACAAGAGGATAAGGAGTATTGCCTTAAGCAACTTGAATTAAATGCATTTGATAGTGGATCCCTAAAGTAACTTGCAGATTAAAGTAACTTGCAGATTCCGATAGAGAACTTGTCTGCCATTTTCGGTGAAACAGCATTTGTGCGGGCTAACAGCAAAGGTCGTAAAATTCGCATGTCCTTAAAGGTCCCAATAAAATTTCATGTTTTTTCCAATACATTCAATCCTTTTCATTAAGTTAGCTCTCTACCGTACGAGTTTTCTAGGTACCAGAAAATGATTATTATATTTTCTTACTGGAATACTACAACGCGAACCCAAAAACAATTCCGCTAACTTTGGAAGTGAGGCAATACGGTCAGCTTCTAATGAGGGAGAGCATTATCCTTAAACACTGCCCATATTCGTCAGTTTTTTTTTGAACATAGTTTTTATTAGATTAATAACTTAAGAGTAGTTTTATTTATTTATTTTTTTATGTTTTATTAGATAACTTAAGAGTAAGAGTAATGGCTTGAAGCATTATCCTTGCCTAAGAGATCATAGTTCCATTTCCCGCTGCAATCCTTCCATTCTACAGTTGCTTTTGCATAACTTTCTATCAAAATATCCTACAAAGAAGCTTGTTACTTGCACTAGCCCTTGATCTAGATGTCTTTGATCTCCGGTTATCCCGAAAAGCTTTTTGATTCTGATGAACAGGGATGTCCTTTTGCTTCCTTATGATTAGACAATAAGTTTTTTCTGGATTTTTTCAAAAATGTTCCAAATATTTATTACTTATTTACTGATGCAAGCCATAGATGATAATGATTTGATAAATGAATATTTCAGGACATTTTGTCGTGATATCGCATCATCTGATGCTGGTGTTGCATTGATGCATTTGAAAGATGGAGAAGATGTAGCTGTTGCATTAATTGCTGAACCAAAATATGAATTTAGTTTAGCCGCAGCTAATCTTATTAGAATGGGAGATTGGGATGTCAGCTATCTTCGACAAGTTAGCATAGAACTATTTTACACATTCTGAGCATTATAACAAAGCCTTTTCTTTTTCAAGCAGCAGGCTACTATTTTTCACTTTCACGTATTATAGGTCCCTGTATGTATTCGTAAAAATGGACATTGTATGAGTCAGTGGTTTCCTCCTGTAGCAAACGGTATTCTGAACGAAGCTGAGTCACAGATGAATGCGAATAATTCAATCAGCGGTGAAAAGTTGCCGTTTATCGTTGCCAACCCGAAAGAAGTTCAAGTTATAGCCCTCGATGAAAACATGGTATGATACGTCTAATGCATACTGTCGAGAATGAAACGTATTATTGTTTACTAATAGTAAGCATCCTTATAGGGTACAGTAGAAATATCTGGAGTAGTACCATCTCATGACCATTATGTTTTCATTGTACAGTACTTCAATCCGGACAATACATTGCTAACTGTAGACGCTACGGTCCAGAATGGTCACCTTCATCACGGTATACTTTATTGCTTCATCTTTTATTTCGGAACCATTTGGTTTCTTCAACTTTGTTCTTTTTGTTTAACTGAAACTAATATTTATCATTCAGAAAATATAGTCAAATATGTCAGAGCAAAATATCTTTGCATTTTCAGCAGAGATACTATTTTCTTACTGCCCAACTGTTATTGGTTGTCGGGCAGTAATTCGAGACAAAGAACGGAAAGATGTGATACAGTTTTTCATTGATGATAAGTATACTGCGTCATTCTATTTTAATGAAAGCCAAAAAGGACCGTTGTACATTGCAAGTTTATCAAGTTTTATTTATTTATGTCCCAAGAAATTATTGTTTTCTGTTCTACATCTTTAAATGGACATATTGTTCTCGATCTAAATATTGTAGCCGTTCTACAAATTACTGAAATTCTCATCTAATGTTGCAAAACAAACTGAAATGACATTCGTTTTTTTTCCTTTTTCATTTTTCCTTATTAATGCACTTTTATGTAGGACTCGATAACATCCCTGCCATTCCATTCATATAGCGACACATTATTGACCCCATTGCCTATCGATGTCTCTATTCAGTATATACAGGAATGCAGTTTGAATAATTTCAGAAATGAGTAAGTGCTCCTCTTGTGAATCATTAAAGAAATTATTTACCAAATTTTGATGCTGGAACTATTTTAGGGAATATCTCCAAAAAAGATTTTTGTTTTGAGATTTGTAGATTTAGCCAGTTTTGCCATTGTTTTCGAACTTCTGAAGATAATAAATAAGGATTACATTATAGAAATTCATTGTAGATGATAATTTAAATCGTTATAGTCCGTCAAATGTAAGTGAATACTGTCGTCAGAAAGTGTTCTCCCTAACTTCCGAGTACAATATGGCAGCACTTCCATGTGAATGTAGTTCTCAAGGCAGTACAAGTTTCATGTGCGAAAAATATGGTGGCGAATGTTCTTGCCGCCCTAACATAATAGGACGTCGATGTGATCGTTGCGCACCTGGCTATTACAGTTTCCCAGATTGCATTAGTTCGTTATTTTCCAACTTTCTTTTGATCTTTGTTAAATTTAAATTTTTGTCTAGAAACACTGAATTTCAGAATGTAAATGTCCAGACAATCACTTATGCGATGAGAATACCGGTCAATGTTTCTGTCCATCACATGTAGAAGGGAAGCACTGTGACAGTTGCGTACCCTACGCCTTCGGTTATGATCCTTTAATTGGTTGCCAGCTGTGTGGCTGTCAGCAAAATGGTTCAGAAGCACGGCAACTTCAGTGTGATCCAGACAATGGACAGTGCTTGTATGTTATTCTTCTATCAGCTCTTTATCACTCTTCAATACCTTATTTTGGAACGAGGTTGAGAACAATTTCATAATATACATGAACACTGAACTGTTTGGCTCATGATAAGAGAAAAAAATATCACAGGTGCAAAGCCAATGTTGGTGGTAGGAAATGTGACAAATGTTTACCAGGTTTCTATGGCTTTCCACACTGTTACGAATGCGCATGCGAAATAAAAGGTACCACCGAAGAAATTTGTGAATCAACTAATGCCGCTTGTAAATGCAAGGTAGATCTTTCATTCTATATGTATTTTGTTTCATTGTCTGAATTGATTCACTAATGAGGTTGCTTAACAAATATCCTAACAACTGCGTTAATATAGAAAAATGTAATTGGTGAAAATTGCGATATTTGTCGTCCTGGTACTTTCGACTTACGTGCATCGAACTCTGATGGCTGTGCGGAATGTTTCTGTTTTGGTGCCACCGATCGCTGCCGATCTTCATTTCTTCCCGTTTCTTTTGTAATATTTCATCACATCATTGTGTATAATATCATAAAAAATAATTCACTGATTAAAAAAATGTTTTCTTTTGATAATTCTTGATTTCGTAAAGGTGAATTTCGATGAGGAAGCATGGAAAGTGCATCCGAATGAATCTGTACTACATTCGCATGGTAAGGTAGTATATGAAGCGAAAATTGATGGTAAAGACGATGTTTATTTTTTGGCTCCAATAGGATCAGACCACGACTTCACTACTTCTTATGGCTTACAAGTAATATTTTCCTAAAGTTTTCGTTGTCAATTGAAGTTTTTGTAAAATTGGTATTTTGAAAAGCGCACTACTGTTCATTCTTTCAGCTGTCTTTCGTGATATTATCCAATCCGCGAGATGGTGAAACCAAAATGAGTTCTGCACCTGATGTTCAGTTGGTTGGGAATAATACAGTACTGGATTTTTGGGCTCGAGAACAGCCAGCTAATCCACGAATACCATTCAGCGTTGAAATCAAACTTTTGCCTGTAAGTTTTAGATGCCAAATGTTTAATGTATGTGAAGTTGCAAAGCGTTCTTTTATTTTGTTTCCTCGTCTATTCTACGTTCATACCGTTTCGTTGTATTCATTACGGTCTGATCTTTATGATATGACTAATTATTAATTTAGGAAAATTTCATGGAATCGACAGGGGAACCAACGACTCGTGACACTCTGATGATGGTGTTACACGACTTAGGTGAACTTAGGATTAAGGCTTGTTATTATACGAATTGCGAACTGGCGGCAGTTAGTGAATTACAACTCGAAATAGCTAAGGATGATCAAGCCACTGGTGATAGTTACACAGCTTCTTCTGTCGAAATATGCCAGTGCCCACCACCTTATACTGGACTTTCTTGTCAGGTACCAAAACTTGACTCTGCTCCAAAAGTAGATATCAAATTATAATGAATGCTAAAAATTTTGCAGGCGTTGTAATATTGGTCAAATTACTGAAATTTTTTAGCAATGTTCTCCTGGTTATTACCGCGTCAATAGCGGTCGATATCTTGGTTCCTGTGTCCCTTGCAATTGTAATGGTCATTCTGGCAGCTGCGATTCGACTACTGGAATTTGTTTCGATTGTGAGCATGACACTTTTGGCGATCATTGCGAATTTTGTAGGGTAGGATTCTATGGTGATGCCATCAAAGGAGGGCCTTATTCATGTTTGCCATGTCCTTGTCCATATGCTACTGATACGAATAACTTTGCAACAAGTTGTCAGGTTAATGTTTTCCATTATTTTCGTTATTACCATTATTTTATTCGGGAAAGAAATTTTAACAGACAGTGATGTTCAACAAGGTATAAGTTTATTTCTTCAGCTTCGTCCAGGCTTTTCATTTTCAAAAGGAATAGCAATCTGATTGTATTTTTGCCGTTTAAAGGTCAGTGAAACGGGACTATTAGAGTCATGCTTCTGTAAGAAAGGATATACCTCTGATCACTGTGAGCGATGCGATGTTGGATATCATGGTCAGCCTACTGCAGTCGATGGTTCTTGTCATAAATGTGACTGCAATAACAATAACGATCTTAGTGTGGACGGTTCTTGTCATCCTATAACCGGTGATTGCTATCTTTGTTTAAATAATACCGATGGTGCACACTGCGAACATTGCAAACCGTGGTTTTATGGTGATGCTGTGGAAGCTAAAAATTGTACAGGTAAGAGATAAGTTACATCATTGCAAGGGTTTTTTTCTTTTTTTTTTTATTATAACAAAATTCAGTTAGAGAAGGACATTCTGGAAATTTTCTCCTAATTTTGTGCTTCTCGTTTTTTTTTAATTTTTCGTTTCTGCATCAACACTCACTCATTTGTGTTAGATTTCTCCGTTGTTTGATTGAAAGTGAGAGAGAAAAAATTGAATTGATGAGTTCTTTTTTTGAGATTTTTTTCTCAAAGTTTTACAGACTGTGCATGTAATCAATGCGGCAGTTCATTATGTGACAACAGATCTGGAAGATGTGAGTGCTTAGCGAATGTAGAAGGAGAAAAGTGTGATCGCTGTGTGGTAAATTCTACTTCTTTTATTTGACTTATAACTTTAAACATTTCAAAATATAGTGAATGGATTTCCTTAACTATTCATAAATATTTGGATTAAAAAAATGGCTTCATTAGATGAACGCATGGGGTTTCATGCGATGCCACGGATGCGAAATGTGCAACTGTGCCTTGGCATCATCAAGCCCTCAATGTGATGCTGAGACTGGACAATGTTCCTGTATGCCTGGAGCTGCTGGACAAATGTGCGAAATTTGTGAGTACGGCTACTGGAATTATGGACCTACCGGATGCTCGAGTTTGTTTTAATACTGATGCTTCAATTCTAATTTCTGTTTCTGTGAGAGAAAATTTGCTTTTCTCAACTAAATTCTTTGTTTTATTTTCCTTCCCTAAATTTTTCGTGAATTCATTGTTTAATGGTGGTTTAGATGAAGGAAATTTATATTTAAATTCTTTTCTGAAATGTGGCTTAACCAATGTCAAGTTATTGTTAACAGTTAAGGATGAACTGTAAGTTGTGTTCATGATTTTTAATGATGAAAATTTTAGAATGTGATTGTGAAGCAGATTTATCGATGGGAACAGTGTGTGACGTTAACACAGGGCAATGCCATTGTCAGGAAGGTGCTACCGGACCTCGGTGCGATCAGTGCGCCTCACAGTACCTGCGAATACCAAATTTTGGATGCCGATGTGAGTTGCTTTGTTCACTGTTTTTAATGAAAACTGGGAAAAAATAAAGAAAAAATATTTCCATAGTTACATATCCATATAGTATTCTGCTGAGGTGAACTTTTCCCTACTTATAAAAAGTGCAAAAATAGTTGCTAAAATCATTGTGACTTTCTCTTTGAGAAATACAGTTCAGAAGTAAAATCATTTTAGTGTGCGATGAATGTGTTCACTCAGTGATGTATGATCTGGACAGATTAATCGATACTGTTGATTTTGTTAACGGAACAATCAACAGTATTTCAACGACTGCTCTTACGGGTTCTCGTCTTAAACGTATTCGTAAGAAAATCGACGATTTGAAGGTGTGGGAATTACTCTATGTTTATGTTGTCATAATTTTAGAAATTCCTTTTCTTAAGCATATAGTAATATAAAATTGATGAAGAAGTGGCTTATGTTAAAGTATCGACATAAAGCATAGTCTGAGCATGGCATCTTAATATGTAAAAGGTTTATAGTCGGTAATTTTAAATCACATGAACTCAAGTGATGTGGGTGTTGAAAGTTTATCTAGCGATGTATTTGGTGCAATTTCTGATGTTGTTGGTGTAGTTGTTCGTGCAAATCGAACTTTGGATACACTTAGTGCCACGGATAATGCTATGAATGGTATCATCAACAGAGCTAATATCGTAAGTGATTAATAGTATTATATAAAAGAACAGGAGGATCCTACAGGATTTTCATCCCATTTACAACAAAAGTTTCGGGGAAAAAAATTTAATGAGATTACTGGATTGGTAATCGGAGGAGATATGAACTGAGATGGACAATTAATTTGTAATATTAGATTCCTCAACTTGGTATTAATGATAGAAAAAAGTACGATATCGGCTATAAATGAGCTCCGAAGGGCCTATTTAAGACAGGTAGTTTTACTGATGTTAAAGGAGTTATACCACCATGAACGGAGTAATTCTACTGAGAAAATGAAGCTTAAATTAACAATGCTGTCATAAGAAAAAGTTGTTGAGTACACGGACTATTACAGGAGGCTTAGTTGTCATTAATGGAATTGACTGCAATTTTTCTGCTTTGTTTTATAAAAATACATCTCGTGATTGTCTGGATCTTCAATTTAAATCTTAGTGAAATCTTTTACTTTCATTTCCAGTTCAGAAAATGATTTAGTTACCTATGCGCAATTAAGATGCGATTACACATCCTTTGCATCGCTTTTTTTTTGGAGGATATATGAGATGCAGTATCTTGTATTTATATTGCAGTTTCCATCGGATGTATTTGATCGTGTTGAAATGGCAGCATCAATTGTTGATTCCTTAAAAAATCTTGCCTTCTCACTTGGCAAAGATTCCAATGCTGTAGATCGTCAGGAATGGTTGATAGTTTCAACCTCGCTTTTAGAAAAAATCCGTGATGCTACGAACGAGTTGGTTTTCCCAAAATACTTTTTAATTCTCTTTGTAAATTTATATATCATTTATTCATATCCCAGCACAGTTGACTTTTGGCCGTTGCTATCTGTTGGTGTTTTACTGTCTCTTATCATTATCACAAAACGAAACGCTGCATTATAGTCAAATATTCCTATCGGTTAATGTATCACATTGTTTCTTTTTTATTTTAAAAAAAAAAATATTTAGTAAAGAGACGAGGGAACGAGTGCAAGATGCAGAAGATGAAATACGAAAATTGTTGAAACGTATGAAAGAGCTAAAAGATAAAGGAAATGTGATACATGCAAAGTACTTTAATGTGAAGGATCAAGTGGACACGCTAATAAATAACATTACAGAGTATCGTTCCTTTCTTTATCAAGTGGCCAGTTCGGTTGAACATAGCCTTCAAGTCAGTTACACTTTTACATTTTCTTTCTTCTCTAAAACTCCTTCCTCTACTCCTTCTTGATAAAATCTTTCATTTCGCTGCTATGTTACATTATTGTATTCCAGCGAGTGAATTACTCAAACATACGTCGTATGGATTCGATACAAGCTGGAGTAAAAGCAGGCGAAGCGAAGATCAAAGAAACTCATGCATTTATCAAAGATCTAAAAGCAACCTCCGAAACCTTCATAAAATCATTAAGTAATTTGAACAAAACGCTTCGCGAAGTAATGAGCAAAGTTCAAGATGTGTTCGGTCAGCTGAATATTATGAATGGCAGATATCGTCATGGGCGGATACGTAGCATTAATAAGGTTACTGCATCATTTGTCCACGTTTTGTGGATTTAGTTGAATTCGCTTTCCTAACAATCAAATATATGGGATTATGAGAACAGTACTTCTAAAACAAATTAATTTCCTAAAAGCTGTTTGAGACAGTAAAGTGTAAAATATCGTTAGCGTAACCTACATCGCTGTTACAGAATGAATACAGGAACAAGTCGAAAGAACTGGAAACTGAGGCATTATTTTTATCATCTTTGTTTGGTAGAACGCGGACCGAAGCAAAGAATGCGATAGTAGCTGCTAATGGATACAAAGAATTGATGGAACATTTGAAAAAAGCACGAAATATGACAAATCAAGCATCCTTAAATGCAGAACAAGCTAAAAGATTCCATGAAGAAGGAGCGGTAATGGTTAAATATTTAGAAGGAGCATTTCTGCAGATCTTACATGTGTTGTATTAGAAATCGAAGTTATTTTTGAGTTTCCCAAAGGTTTCAAAATTTAATACAGGCAGCATCAGCGAAAACACTTCGTGAGCAATCGGCTGATTTGCTACGTTCTGCCGTTGATCTAAAACTGTCAAGTATAAACAATGTAGATAGCTTGAAAGTCGTTTTCTTCGAAAAAGCGTCAAAATTACAATTCCTTATCGAGAACCAGAAAAGAATCCTAGAAAGCCTTCGTCCTAAATTCGATGACAGAGAAGTGGTATGTTTTTATGTAAAGTAATTGAAAGAATGCAGTAAGGAATATTCTTCTAGAAAAATTTTGCCTCACTCATTTATTTTCCATTGTAGATGCATTTCTCGAAACATTTGAATCAACAAACAATTATTCAGAATGCAAAATTAGAACATTCTCTAAGTACTTCGGAAGAGGCAAGAACAAGAACTGACGGTGCCATTTTCTTATTTGATCGGTTCAAGCCCGATTTGGAAGAAATGATTAGTCGTAGCGAGAAGCTCGTTGGATCAGTTTCAGTCTCTGCTAATGATGTTGATACTGCTAGAGAGCAGATTTCGAAGGTGAATCAGGAGCATCATTATCACGCTACATTGGTTTGCATACAGTTATTGGAAAAATGATTAGACGTAGCACATAAATTAGGTTTGATTTAAGCTGGTAAACGAAAGTTCACCGATCATGGCAAAGCTAAAAGTGCAGCAGAACGCAGCTTCAAATACTTCAGCAACAATAGAACATTGCCGTGAAAAGCTAAATTTGTTAAAAGAAAAGATCGCTCTCGCACGAGACTTGGCCAACAGGGTTTGCTTGTTCTCATGTATTGAATTAGATATGTAAATTGCCTTGCTGTATTTCTTTGAAACAATAGATAAGTTCGAATCACCAAATTACAGATCAAGTTGGGTGCGCATTTCGAAAAAGGAAGCATTTTAGAGTTGCCATTACCTCCGCGAATAACGCGTTCTGCAGCATACACTAACATCGAATTTTTCTTCAGAACGACGAACATTAGTGGTATCATTGGCTGTCATTTTGAAAATTCACTCTGGACAAATAGTTTCGAAAGTAGCAATTAACGAAGATGAGAACTAGAAATATTTACTTCTATTTAGGTTTATTATTATTCTTTGGTAATGAAGTTGGCGTTTCTGGAACACGTGCTGTGCCAACCGATGATTACATTGCTGTTGAAATAGAAAAAGGTCATTTGCGAATAATTGTTAATCTTGGTGAAGCACCCACACAACTGGTTTCGGATTCGTAAGTTTTTCCAACTTTCGAGAGATAGTCGTAAATGATATTAATTAAAGAGCTTTGAAAATAATTCATGTCCCTCCTTTTTCTTCTTTTTCGTTCAAGAACAACTGAGGGAAAGTTCTCATTTTATCAGCAGTTTGAAAATTATATCAATCCAATTTGATGTGTACTATATCAGATCTGAATGCGGTTTATGTAATTGGCCATCGCTCCGTTAACTTCATATTTCCATTTTCTAGCTTTGTCGCTGACGGCAATTGGCGAAAAGTTGCTGTAGATCGTGTTGGCAAGACAATTAAACTACGAGTATCATCAGCAAATTCCGCAAATTACGAGGAAGAAAAAACGAAAACCATAGACGGCTTCAAATCGATTCTCAATCTTCATCAAAAGAAAAGCCGCTTATTTATTGGCGGTATTGTTCCCGGTGTGAATGTAAGGAGTTTATTAATGCTATAATCTAAAGTATAATTATCATGCGAGGTAGATTTCTTTTTTTCAATTAATTTAAGAGGATCTATAGATTTCACCGGATGTACACACTCGCGAATTCACTGGTGATGTCGAAGATTTGCGTATTCACGGTGAAACAGTCGGTCTGTGGAATGCCAAAAAAGGAGGTAATTACAATGTACTGGGTGCGATGAAAAAAATTTTTGCCACTTCGTTGACCGATGAAATTGGTTCGTCATTATTCACTCTACCTGCTGTCATAAAATATACAGAGTTAAATATAAATCTTAAGTTTGACCACTTAGTTCTTTTAGTCAAAACTTAATTAATTAGAGGGTTTTTGGAAAGATGATACTTTTCAAAGCTTGAGAATATTTAAAATAAGTTTCTGTGTACGGTTTGGTTTAAAAAACGTATAAATTATAGCTATGATGTTTTGTAGCATTGAGCTTTAATGGAAATGGATACGCCGTTCACAAACTGGGTATTTGGAATCCACGGAAGCAAACAGTTTTCTCTTTGATCTTTCAGACACATTCTCCCGACGGACTATTCTTATACCTTGGAAAAGAAGTATGCATTATATAGTCGCTTCTGTCAGCAATTTCAAAAAGTATTTCATTTTTTCCTTTGAAATTTCCAATACTTAAATATTCAAATTTCGATGTTTCTTTAGCGTGATTTTCTATCTCTTGAACTACAAGATGGTAGAGTGAAGCTCTCATTTGATTTTGGTTCGGGTGTTGGAAAACTGACAACTACGGATAATAATTACAACGATGGCAAGCCTCATTCTGTGTACGTGCACCGATTAGAACGTCATGCTCGTATGCGGGTAGATGATGATGATGTTTCGGAAGGTGATTCACCTGGTACAATGTTCGAACTCAGCATATCTGATGTTCTGTATTTGGGCGGTGTGCCGTCCGATGTTTCGACGTTTGTTCTCTTCGTTTTTCTTTTTTTGTCTTCTTTTTTGTGGCCATCAGTTTCAACCATTCTAGCGATGAAAATGCAGCGTGACAATGATTAGTTGTTTTAAAGCATGTCCGTCAAAGTCATTAAAATCGCTCAGGTTTTATTCTGTACCGTATTACTTCCGATCTCATGAAAAGGGCTAACATATTTCAGGACTATCATTTCTCTGGATATTCCTTCTCATCTAGTTGTAGTGTATAAATCCATCAAATAAGTGGTTGTTCTCTTTCTTTCACTCGGCAATATGTTTTATCTACCCATGCCCCTTCGGCAGACAGCGTATCAGTAGCGTTTGCTTTTTCTTGTGATCATGACAATAATATTGTAAAATTCTCCCACACTTCAGCTCCATTTACTGTTGTCATTACTTCGCTGTGATAACATGTTGCATGGACAGTGTCAACGAAGTCCAAGTCCTATAGTTTGTGTAAGCGTGATGAACAACAAGGCGTAAATGGATGTATTGTAAGAAATTAACTCCAGCTATGCAGTGATCTCTTTCAGACGCACAGCGGTTGTGCCGATGAATGGATGTATAAAACATGTGAAGCTGGACAATCGCTTAATGGATCTGAGTAAATCAAAAACGGCGAAAGGAGTGCAGCTGGGATGCAACGCTCGAAATGTACACGTTATTTCAATGGTATCGGAACATTCCATCGCTTCTTTCAGCAGTTTCAGTACTAAAAAAGATCGTCTTGAATTGACATTCCGATTTAAAACAAAACGACCGTCTGGTATTCTCGCATCTGTTATTTCCGACGAACAGGTTGGTTTTTCAAAATGTTCTAAAGGCAATAAAATCTACATCCGATGTTTGACCAAAGTGCATGTCTTTAACAGCAAATATTTTACCTGAAGTAAATTCTGCTTTATAGATGGTATATCAACCAATAACAACGAGCGTTATAACCATTGAGAAGTTGAACCATAAATTCTTAGACAAGAAGAGCATGATAGGGAATAAGGTTACCAGTTTACACTATCTGGTTGGGAACTACAAATATAATGTTCAGGAAGTGCTCTTCCAAGTGCGTTACCAGAATGGATTTATTTTGGCTGAGTACGGGTCTGACAACAAGGATGTTGCTCAAATCGAATTCAGATCAGTCGCTGATGGGCAATGGCATTACTTCGCAGCTATAGTGAAGCCGGAAAGTATACGGCTGGATTTGGATGATCTTTATTCAAGTGAGATTCGGAGGACTGTTGCTGATAATGAGGTTGATTTCAATTTATTTTTAAAACACTAATTTGCATTGTTGCTTGCTATTATTTGTAAAGCACTGGCATACTTTGAATCATATTTGTTTTATTTATTTCACTGGCTGCAGGTAATCGGTGTACCGATCATTGTGCAGTTTGGTCAGTTATTGGATTCCAATTTACATTTCGAAGGATGCATTGGTGATGCAACATATAATGGTCAATTACTCGATTTTACTGAGGTGAGTTTTTTGACGATGCAAGATACATTATTATCAGCTTATGAAAAGGAAAGAATGGAAGTACCCGTATCATTCAACTGCAGAGGGGACTTGGACTTTTTGTCTAGTTTTCAAACTCTTTAAACAGTTTTCTTTCATAGTGATACTATTGCAGGCATCAACTAAAGGGGTAAGTCTAACGGGCTGTTCTTTTCCGGAAGACATCTCGATAACAGATATACCTTTTGGACAAACAACAACGAATGAACCTATGAATATTGCCATACCTGGAATAAACAGCATGCAACTATTTGTGACAAAAACCGATAAAGAATTCACTGCAGACAGTGTCAGTTTTAGATGCATTTCGAAGATCATGACATGAATAACTCAGTGCTTATGTAAACTGGTGGACATTTTTGGATAATTCTCTAAATATTTGTTCATTTTTAGAGAATATCATCCGGAACATCATCCCTCTCAAGACTAAGAGGAATTGCTCGCAAGTCAGATGAATGTGCATTTTTGAGACAGTCCCATGGCGATAGGCCAGATTCCAGTGGTACTCGATTTGGTTTATCTCCTTCATCACGTCTTGAATTCGATAAGCCACCTGCTTCGTTTGATAAAAAGTAAGTTAAAATACTACAAGGCAGTCCAAATGTCACTTGTTTTGTAAATAATTATTTATCTGAGGATAAGGGAAGTAGAACTTTCAGCTAGTTTCAATGTAAATTTACAGCAGCCTTTTCTCGATACAATTACGAGCTACGGCGTCAAATGGAATAATTATGTTCGCGACGAATAACAGACATACTGATTACATAGCCTTATATCTCGTCAACGGCATCGTTCATTTTGCTTACAATTCCGGATCAGGACAAGTAATGAATACTCTCATTTCATTATCTATTCTTGAAATTCTAACTTATTTTGTTTTTTGTTGACCAATGAGAGTTATCGCCAATCTTACTTTGTTAAGGCTGTTCTAAAATCAAGTCGAAGTGTGATGGATGATGAATGGCACAGTATAAGAGCGGAACGCGAAGGCCTTGCGGGAACATTATATATTGACAACGTAATGGAATCAAATGGACAGTCTCCTTCTGGAACTAATGCAGTTGATACTCAACCACCAATCTATATTGGAGGACTTCCATCAGATCTTGTGCCTTTTGCATCCAGAATATTACCAGTATGTTTTTTTTCCAAACTTAAACAGTGATAGCGGAATAGTAAAACTCTATTTTAGTCTCATTGAAATGATTTTGTTAATCAGTGACAGTTATTACAAGTTATTACTACGATTGAAGGGTGCTAAATCGGTTTTTGGTGGATGTCTCAGAGATTTCAAGCTTAACGAAATGAAGTTTGATGTGCCTCCAGCAGAGATTGGTACAGTGCCATGCAGTCAATACACTGAAGAAGGATTATATTTTGGAGAGAATGGTGGCTACGCTATATTAAACAAAAATCTGAAGGTATGGGATTTAGATGAATCGCAATATGAATTGTAATTAAGCACCATTTTATGACAAATCTGAAGTAGATTTATTTCAGCGTCGTAAAATAAACTTGATGATACTACACTGTGGTAAATGTATAGAAAGTTGCTGGTATCTAGGAATTGATAGGTAGCGGGTGACATATCGAATTATAAAAATCAAAATACCGCAAACACCTCGCGCACTGGCTATATCAGCATGTCAGCTCCAAATTTTTAAAGTGTTGCGAGAATCTCAGGACTGAAATGAATAAAGGCTGATATCTCGATACAGTGTTAGATTGTTTCCGAGGTCTTCAGCAGACCGGCTGATTTATTTCTAGCATCCTCGATGCATTCGAAATCCATCTGAGGAGTGATGTGTATTCTTGAGATAGTGAAATAAAGCGGAATATCCTTCTTCTACTTTTGCTGATATGTGCAGAACCACCATATGTAGGACTAATCCCTTTTATATGCAGATCATCTCAGTATTAAACGTCATTAAACCTCAGCTGATAACAATACACTGACTAAGCAAAGCTATCTCTACCATGATTATAAGTAACACGGACCGCTGGAGAATTATTTATCCGAAATGTGCGAAATATTACCTTAATGAGCTAATGAGGCAGTTAGATTCATGGAACATATCAAGGATAAGCAGATCAACCATACTTTAATCATTATGCCGCCTGACTGTTATGGAACTGATATCATACTGAGTTCGCTCACTTGATGGCGGAGGAAGCAAAAAATGAAAAAATTGTCCTCTGGCAAATGGGTATGCCAAATGGAGTTAATTTTGACAGGTTGACCTGATATGATCAACTTTCTTGCCCTATATTGTCCCTTTTTGTCCCTCTTCTAA